AGTAGCTTGGGGCCTCTTGAATGAAGTGAACAAGCATCCCATCGCGCAACAAGTCTCGAGCTTCTTCCTGCCAACGCCAGAAGAAAGGTCGAGAGCCATGCGTCCATTCCCACCAAGATGACAGTGCAGCCCTCCGTAGAGCATCTCGTGCTGCCAGCAAATCGAGCCTCCTTTCGGTGGCCAGTTTTCCGCTGCCGTAAACTGAAGAGTGCCACCGGATGTATGCCTTGCGTCCCTTATTGCTCCATCGGTACACAGCCACCTGACGGGCTTGTTGGATCGGACGGTCGGAACCGTCAGGAAGTTTGGCACCCGTTGGGTCCTTGATGGTTCGAGAATATTTCCTCACCGCCGTGGAGCACATCCCTTTGGCTGTTGACTTGGGAGTGTTGTGTTGCTCTCGGTACCAGTTGGCGAAATCCTGAGTAAGATGGCGCTTCCACCATCGAAGAGCTCTCGGTTGCAAGAAATTGAGGATGATGGCAACTGCTTGCGCCTCTCTGGGACCGTTGCTCAGTGTGAAGGCCCGTCAGCTAGCAATGCTGAATCCAGAGATTCCGGAACGGCCGCTGAATCGCTCTTGACCGCTTTGTGTTCCCAAGCGTCTCTCTTCATGTCCTCCTGAGAGAAAAGCACAGCTTCAGGGACCATAGACGACTGGTCCAAGCTGGGGAGCTTGGTGGGGTCGAACTCGTCATCAGAGTCATAAGATAAATCGTCACCATAGGATAACACAGTGTACATGGACAACTCATCGTCCGTGAGGTAAGTTCCAGTGGTGGCGTCGTCCTCCGGTAACTGCTCTGCTTGTGGACCTCCCGACTTGTCCCACTTGGTTTCAAGCACAGCATCAGGTGAAAAAGAACCCCCCCCCGTATTAGAATCAAGCGCGACCTCTGGCGAAGAAAGACCAGAGGACGCAGCGTAACATGCCCTGAGAGCGGCTAAAGGAGTGAACCCATGAGGGAGAGTCGTAGAGGAGCCGAAAGGATGCTCCTGAGTCTCACCAATGTCATACGCCTGAGTCATCTCCAGAGATGTGAGTGGCCGTACGCCCCAGAAACCTCGGCGAGCATACTTGGCAGGGGTCACCACCCATGTGTCCAGTGTCGGACGAGAAGGGAGAAGTCCAAGACCATGATACACAGGAGATGATCGCTCAGCCACCACCAAAGGGATCACTGCGAGCACACCCTCGAACGCTGGAGGAAGAGGGGTGCGGTCACTGCATGGTGCGCTGTAAGACAGGATGGTGCTCATGTCACGAGGTGCGCCTGAAGCTGTGATCTCCACTGAATCAGTCCCAACGTAGAACAGATGACAGACAGTGCCGGTGATGCCACCGAGGCATGTATGGTCCAAAGAGAAGTGCTGAAGTCGAACGGAAGCCGGTATGCTCCGAGGACGCACGGACAACCAGACATGATGCGTGCCCAACGTAGATAAAATCGTCAAATATGAACAGGAGAGCCGGAAGTTCGTGAACACCACCAAGGAAAAGTGTCAAGAGTATTGAGGAAAGCTCCAATGTCGTCACAAGGTTGGACCGGAACGGGAGACAGGTTTGACCAAGAGCAGACTCCTCTTGTCACGACCTGCGTCACATGAAAGGTGGGGATCCCATCGGTGGCAAGTAGCCAATCCGGATTGGTGGAGTCCAAAATGAGACCACACGAGAGACTGTGCTCCGAGGGGAGACGAGTGCCCCTGATGACACCATGCAGCGAAGGGCGTGTCCCCACTAATGGTGAGGGACAGGTGGAAGGAGGTGGCTCCGGATCAGGACGAAAAGTGTGCCTGACCAAACGGGAGGAGGCTGCAGGCTCTTGCAACGCCACCGGTGCTAGAGCCTCGCCAGCTTCCTACTTGATCTTGTCCACCTTCCTTTCAATGGCAACAAGAGGATTTCCCGTGGCCTGTTTGAAGGCCTTGAGTTCCGTAATCATGTCAGCCACGTGGGTTTCACTGCTGCTGGATGCCTTGGAAACCTCATTCAATCTGATGTCTTGTTTGTCCACACGTGCCACGTCAACGCGGTTCTTCATGATGAAGTTGGACATGGCTGTCGTGGTGACGTGCTGGGACTTGTACTTGGCCACACGAAATTCCTCCATACGAATGTTGACTTGGAGAACGGCCCAAATCACTTTCGCTTTTCCCTCCAGAGAGTGGAAATCACTAATCTCAGCAACCTCAATTCGAGGTCCAGACAAGTAATCGAAAAGTGATCGAGAGTGGAAGCCAAGGAAGTCTTAAGCTCTGGCGGGTTCGTAGTTGCACTGTTCGACCAATTCCTCGCGCCATTCCGTGAGGAACATGAACCAGTCTGAGAGATGGTCCACAGAGTTGTTAAGAACCTGGCGAGCCAGTTCCGTAGCCAAGCCAGACCCAGTGATAGACTTTTTGACTTTCTTTACCAAGTCGCGAGCCCGCTTGAGGATCTCTTGTCTCGCAGGATTGGCTTTCCTTCCTGAGAATATGCTGAAAGTCTTCAACTTGTATCCAAACCCATCTTCGGGGTCGACCAGGGACTTGGATGCCTCGGTCTCACCAAACAGAATGAGGGGAGATGCGTGGGACATGGTAGACATGACGTCAACTTCTAATCTGGTGGCTTTGATGCCTTGAGACGATCTTGACTTGTCTGCATAGTCCTTTCCTGACGAGAAGTCCTGAGAAGACAAACAGAGTGCAGTGAAGATGTCCACGAATAACCCCATGGACACGAGCTCCAACGACCCTCCCAGGACGTTCAGGACATCATGCCAGGATCCGATAGTTCTTTCTCCAAACTGATAAGTGTTGAACCCCGTGATCCGACGTTTAAGATCGTCGCAATCGGCTCGAACAGTAATGACCTTCCCTTCAAGATCCTTGATGGGGTCGTGCCTGAGGAGCGAACTTACGTTCGAGTTTAAGGTAGACACTATGTCCTTGAGTTCCTCGACCTCAGCTTCCAGGACTCCGTTCTTGTTGTGGCTGGACCTTGAGGGTCCAGGGGTTCCGAAGTGTTCGAACGTGATACCAGAGGTTGGAGTCTCTGGGTCGGCCTTTGCCATATCGTCCACATGGTCTTCAAGGTCAAGAACACGTTCCTGCAAGTTGATAGTAGTCGTCTTGTAGTTGTTGGAAAACTCTTTGAGGTTCCTCTGCCCAGCTCGCATGCTTTGCTGGAGGGCATCCATTTCCAACGAGGCTGCGTGCAAAGAGTCCTGAATGGAAGCAGCATATGACCAAAGATTTGGCGACAACCCTCCATCCACAGGCCTCTCACCAATCATAGACTTCAACAGTCTGACACTTGAACCTAGATCCTCCGAGATTTGGATGTGGCCCAGACCACGTTGATGCGACGCTTCCAAGGCTGATCCTAAGGTCTTGATTTGAGTCTGCTGAAATGTCATAGCGTTCCATATTTTGGTGACGATGTCGCCTAGATCTCCTGAGTTGACAGCCTGTTGCATATCGTCTTCAGACGGAAATTTGCTAGTTCGTTCCAGGACGAAAACGTTTTCCAACTTAATACTAGCCATTCAAAGGCTTTCTTGCTCTTCGCGAAGCTCCATGTCCAATTTCTTGGGTGTAGCGACAGACTTGAACGACTGAGTGATTTCGGACACAGACTTGTATTTCACGCTGGAGGCTACCGACGTAGATGGTCCTCCCTTTTCTGGCTTAGACTCAATCGCAGAGCGTTCTTCCAGAGCCAAGACGAGGTCATTGACCGGGAAGTGTCTGCCTTCCCATTCCTCGATTTCCTTTTGGACATCTCGGTCAACCTTGGTGAGATCCACAACAGGGGTCACAAACACCAACGGTTTGGTGGCACTGGAAACGAAAAACTCTGCCAAACAATGAATTTGCTCTGTAGTTTCACTCTACAGAAGGGGCAGAGTGAACTCCCAGAGTTTTGGCTAAGTAATGAGTTCGAACAGGCCGCAGAATGTATGTGACCCGAGTTGGCATGACAGGGATGGCAGGCGCATGATTCGATCCTTGCACAGACCAGGTATACTACTATCTATATATGTATACCTATATATGTTTATAACCACAGGTTAACCGTCCTAGAAGAGGAGTTGTCACATTCACAAAGTACACAAAAAGAAAACAATTACGCCCTCACGCAAACCAAAAAACAGTCAAGGCTGCACTGACAAAAGACATATGGGTATGCACGAAAGAAGGCAACAAAGAAGAACACATATTATCTTATACGTTAATTTTTCAGGTCTAGAATAGTACCTAAAACCTTCCACCTCGAATCCTCCTGGCTAGCCGGATATCTTTTGGCATGATGGTGATTCTCTTGGCATGGATAGCACAAAGGTTGGAACATTGGAACATGTCCACAAGATGGGCTTCTGATGCTTGCTGGAGAGCTTCCATTGCAGACCCTTGGAACCTGATGTCTTTTCTAATATCAGAAGCTATGTCTCGAACAAGACGCTGAAAGGGCAGTCTCCTGATTAGGAGATCGGTTGACTTCTGGTACCTTCGAATTTCTCGGAGAGCCACAGTTCCTGGGCGATAGCGCTGTCGCTTTTTGACACACACCTTCAATGGAGGAGGGACCTTCCTGGCGGCCCGCCTTGCTAGCGCCTTCCGGAATCTGGGATGTTGTCCGTCGACTACTTTGCTTGCAGTTGGTTTAGTCCTTACCATACTGGAGGAAATCAATTTTATGTCTCATTATTTTTGGACTGTGGATGTAGTCGTTAAACTGCATGCATAGTAGCATGCCGTCTTTGCTCTCTACATACTTCCTGCTGGTATGATATCAATATAGTCGTTGCAGTACTGGGGCTGGGGGCTGGTTGGGGTCATTCTGTTTCTATATACTGTAGGTTTGGGTTCGTTGGCATGAAATTCAAGCAATCTCGTTGGCATGAACTATTTTTTGAAAAAGTGGATGGGGGGAAGGGGGGAGAGATTTTGAAAATGTGTCAGTCTCACAAAAATCCTGTCCGGACAAACGAAAACGAAAAACAAGGAATAATATGCCACTCCCTGGTTCTTGGTTGGATAGTGAGTGTGCAGATGCAGAAGCGTATGCCAATGCTACCAGGATCTTGTATAGTGGGTGCCCTCTGTGTCTAGAAGAAGATACCTGCAACCTTTGCTTTGAGTTCAAGCTCAACAAGTTGAGGGCTCCAGGTGATAGGTGGGCCACCAGAAACCTAAAAGACCACGCTCCAATTTCACCTCCGGAAACACTGTCAGCGAGTCGAATCCTCTTTATGGAGAAGATGGGCCATGTTTTTGATAGTGGATCGGGTGCTAATAGTAAGAAGAAGAGAAGCAAGAAGACCAATGACAAGAAAGGAACCTGTCAGGGAAGAAGACTGGTGAAAGAGGACTGCAGAGGTGTCAAAGGTCAAGGACTGCAAGCAAGACAAGGGAAGAGGAAGGAGTCTAGCAGCGGAGCAGCGGAGAGCAACAATCAAGGCTGAACTTCCAGTAGAAGGATACCCAAAGAGTCATCTGAGTACGACCTAGTGAGGGCAAGATATGTACAGGCCGCCGGGCTATGGACAAGCAAGGAGGACGAGGAAGATGGTATCATAGCTCGCCACTGTGACATCTGCCACCTCAAACCATGCCTTGCCACTGCTGGGACCAGAAGATTCGTGTATAGCTGCCACAAGCACTTGATAGCTGACAAGAGAACTATCAATTTCACAAAGAAGGCTTGGAAAAGAT